TAAAAAAAAAAAAAAAAAAAAAAAGTAATTTATGTAGGACCTATGCAAAAACAAAGCTTGAGGCTCCCTCTGCTGGTTCCCAAACAACAGTGGAAGGGGAAAATAAAACTGGAAGGTTTTTAGGTCAGCTATAATAGCAATTTCTTTTTTTCAAAGATTAATGTAACGTAATCCTGGAGTGTCTATACGAGGTATTTCACTTTGTTCTTACAGTCAGGACTTTGTTTCTCTTGCTGCCAAACGGGTTAATGTTGGAACCATCAAGCTCTCTTTCTGTTGCTGGTGATTTTTCAGTTCCAGGTACCAGTGCTTTGACAAACTCAAAGCCACACCATCTCCTGACAGTTTTCCACACGACCCCTTGTTATATGTGTTAAGGACAGAAAACCCTCTTAGATGTTTAAGCACGAGGGCTACACTCCATACCGGACTAAGCATTTAAAAAAAAAAAAAATCATAAAATTTTAAATAGAATATATTTTATGTTGTTATACTTAATCTTAATTACTCCCTAAACCGTTGTCCCAAATCTTTCTCAATAGTACCCACTTTACTTTCTTCTTATTTTGTCTCCATAGAGATTTAATTTTCTGATTCTCTTCTCACAGGAAAATATTGAGAACATTATGCCATCTGCTCGCTTATCCACGTACTGAGCCCTGCCAGCAAACAGCCATATAACCTAGGCACACATCCGAAATCACATCTGTACAATTTTATTTACCACTTGCAGTTACATTTACAAATTGTCCCATACAAGTAAAGCAGTTTTCAAAATTAACTCCACCAGAGCTACAAAAATTACTCTCTTCTCTATACACGTCACCAGCTTCAGAATTTATTTCTGTACAGTCGCCGATTATATTTAACAAAATTTCACTATTTTTTGGCTCTGAGGATCTCCACAAAGGCAGCTTCATCATTTTATCTCATTGCAATCAAGAAAGTTGAAGTTCTTGTTCTTCCTTCCCTTCCCTCTCCTTTCATCTGAAGCTCTTCATGGCTTTCAGTTTTGGAATTCAAATGAATGAAGACTAATGCTACCATACACTAGCAGTTTTAGTAACCAAGGAAAAAAAAACGTCGAGCAAAACCATCTTGCAACATTTCAAGCAATGTTTCACTTTAGATGTGTCTGCTCATAAGCATAAATATTGAAATATTATCTGGTAGTAAGGTACACAAAAGCACACAGAATTTATTTAACATGAAATGAACTTCTACAAACACATACAGTCAACTTACAAGAAACACTAGCAAAGTAGGAATGAGGAGCCAGAGCTGTTCAGAAAAGAGCAAATGTTTTGAGGAGAGCGAGAATGGAGGAAGGATATGAAACAAATATTGCTCTAACTTTCAGTTTTAGGCATTTCCAAAAGACTTGAGAAAAATATATACATTCAAAATGTAACAGTTAAAACTTTCTTAATGCCAGCTCTCACACACAAGAGAGAAAAGAAATCATCTTCCCCAGGAGAGGGCAGGAGATCCACGCACAGAAGTAACCAATACAAAATCCTGGCCCCGTTGAAATATGCAGCAATTCTCAGGGTGAAGTCAGCGGGGCAAAAATTCCCTGTTTCAAACACGTATTTCTTCCCCAAATCAGCTAAGCCTGCCTACCTCTTTGCATCGTAGTCCCGTAGAGGTAACGTTAATTACGTCAATCAAGCCTTTACATTCACTTGTTAATCCCTTTAAAAAAGGGGATACTGGAAATCTACTCTGGTACTGGAGTTAGCAAGCCTGGGATAAGAGCAAAACCATGAAACCAGTAAGATAAGCTAATTTAACATTTACCTTGCAGCGACCTAGCACAATCGGTCTCATCTCCCTTTATTTTTAAATTCCTCCAAAGCCCCAAGGCTCACGGCAAGGCCACGTACTCAGAATATCAAACACATGGGATCTCAGAATTGCTGTCTACCCCCTCAAATAGTTTAAGAACGGCCAGGAACAGTCTAAAAGCAGCATAATCTTCAACGTTAAAATAAGCCAGACAAGCTAGCTGAAGTTGTCTAATATCAAGCACTGAAAACCTCAGTACGTAGCTCCATCAACAAGCAACTGCAACGTAAACTCAGCTGTGGATTTACTACACAACAGTAAGGTTCCAGTCCCATCACGATATGAAGTAACTGAATATCAAAACCATGAATTAAGTTCAGCAAGGCAAAGGCACACACACAAGCAGTTACCACAGTTGTGGGTAACCTGGTTGCATAGATTTACCATTACGTTTTTGTTATATTCTTCAGAAGGAGCTAGGGGAAAAAAAAAAAAATGTAGTATACAGTCCCTTTCCTAAGATGTTTTATTAGTAATTTGAAAGGATTGTACCAGAACTACAGATGCAAGTACGTGGTTTTTAAACATCTTCCAATTTCTCCTCTTTACAGAGGAACATTCAAGATGTTTAAAAGAAAGCTGCTCTGAAAATAAATGTAAACAAGTGAAAAGACCACATTTTAAACAAATCGTTTGAGCTCAGACTGCTGGTGTGATATACACAAGTCCACAACATTTTAGGTTGTTTTGTCTATCTTATTTTCCATATCTTAACAGTAGCCTTGAATACTTCAGTATGTAACACCCTGTTAAACCTTCAAAGTGATCCGAGTAACACATTCAAAATATAGTTTGAAACTGCTCTGAAATGTTTCATCATTTTTGCATGTTTTCACTGAAAAAATTCTGCTTGACTAAAAAAGCAAAGTATTTTTTTTCTTAAATATTTCCCCAACACTGGAAAACCCATGTGATCCTGAACAGCAAATTAAAAACTAATTCTAAGTCTAGTGCTTCACACCTTCCCTCACCCCTACAAAGATAAAACAAAAAAACCAAGCCCAAAAAGTCCAAAAGAGAATTTTAACACCATCGTTTACCACAACACGTCACAAGTAGTCTCAGCTACAAATTTCTACAACCATTTCTTTACTTCAGGACTGCAGCCAGAGTTTGAAGCTACTGAGAGCAGCCGGTAGATTCTCCCTCACTCTGCAGAAACACCAAGGGGTTAAAGGGATCGCTAAACCCAACTAGCTTCTCCATACGACTGCAATGTCACAAATCACATTATTTTATCTGCGGAGAGCAGTATCACGCCTTACAAAATAAAGTCGCCGTTCTTAATCCAACATAACCGATGTACCCATCTAGCAGCCTGCCCTTTGACTGAGCTGCCCTATTCTACTCGTCTGCTACTCGCCTGCTGCGGGGGGCAGAGGAGGAAAAGCTGATCTGAGGGAGCGCCCCGCTTGGAGAAGACGGGGTTGGGACCTTGACTCGTGAAGGAGGACTGTGAAGATCTGAACCTGAGGAAGAGCACTTCCGTATTTTTCATAGATGGAAGAACACTGAAGTGTGGAATACGATCACAAGACTTGCCCTTAGGTATTAAAAAAGTGACTAAAGGCAAAGACAGAGTAAGAAGGAATGGAGAAAAAAAGCAGGCTTCAGTTACTTCATATAAGGCTTCTCAGCCTGAACCTAAAAGTAGCATTAAGTATTAACAGGAACTAGACATTACGTTGGCAGAAACAGAGGTGAGTGGCATAACCGGCTGCACCCCAGGATACTGAGAAGAAAGCAAACGGAGAAGCTACAGCACTTGACATTAAACACCAAGCAAGCTGCAACATTCAACAGAACTGACGAAGAGTTGAAAAATATATTTTATTCCTCCTGTACTAAAGTGATGACACCGTACAAGTTCCCAATTATATGAAAACAGCTTTTGGTAACTCATTTTTTAACTGAGCAACTAATTTCAGCACAATTACCCTAGCTTTAAAAGACTAAAAAACCCAGACTGAAGTCCACTTCTTTGTTTTAACAAGCGTATTTTCCGTGAAGTCCACGCTGTCCACCTTTGCATGTTCTAGGAGTTTGGCTGTGTAAGAAAGTTATCTACAACAGTCATTGGAACTGAAGACATCAGTTCTCCAACCATAAACAGTTCTCATAATTTAAAAAAAAAAAAATCACTTCATAATTTAAAATATATATCAATGACGCTCTGCTTTTCTTTTCGCTAGTATGTACCAACATTACTAGCTGACTTAGAATATCAACTTGATTTTGTGAAAAAAGCTTGCGAAAAATATATCAACTTCAAAATGTACAGAAAAGGACATTAGAGAGCTGATTTTTTGGGTTACTTAATGTATTTAGAAAGAGCAGCAAGCTAGGAGTGAAGTACCCTATATTACAAATATTCAGACACCTAAGCCATACTGTATACACCTTTCTAGTGTAGTGAAGTTAGTTACAGAACAGGAATTTTGAAAGCATGTACAAAGAGCTGCAGCTTTGTTTAACTTAAACTTGATCACGTAGGCGGGCCAGTCTCTGTGACAGCTCATCCTGCAGAATTGTAAAACAGAAAGAAACCAGCTATGAGTAATATGAAAATTAATTTTTGCAAAGCTCTGCAATGGTCCAGCAATCTCATGTCCGGATGATATGAAATTAGCTCATGTACAAGTCTTAACAAGATTTGCTTAAGACCTCAAGAACAGCTGTACCAGGTGAGACCCAAGGCCCACCCAGCTATCTTATCTCCAGCAGCAGATACCTAGCAAGGAGTTTCAGAACACAGCAGGTAGAGACAGGGTTGGGTTTTTTTTTTTTTTTAATGATTCATTTTTGCAAGTGCAAATCAGCTCTTAGAGAACTGCACCCTTATTTGGATGCAGCCTTGACTGACCAAGGCTGGTATCCAACTGAACTGCTACAGCGAGACAGCCATCGGTCTGTTTGATTCAGAGGGGCTGGTACAAGGTGAAACTGAACTTTTCCAAGAATGTGGAATAACTGGGGCTTCCCAAACATTGTTAGGATGAGGCTCCCTAACGCCTTCTCCACAAAGATAGGATGACAGAAGTAAACTGTTCTCCTTCCATTCCCTCAAACATATTCTCCTACAATGGGAAAAGCAACTCACCAAAACATCTGTGCCATCCTGACATCAGGATCTGCCCACGCACAAGAAATTCTAAGCTATCCATCTACAGCGAATGTGGAATCTTTTGCACTAGTCCCATAAGACCTTTCACACATTAAAAGGAAAAAACCTAAAGGCCTCAGGTATGCTACGGCAGATGGCTGGATTCATTAGATTTGGAGCAGGTAGGAGAGTCAACTGCTTGGAAGTCTATGAAATAACTATGCAAGAATATATCTGAAACATCTAAACTTTCTGGATTTACTAAGCAGACAAATGTATTGCTAAAATTATTTTGATCGCAAGACTGTTTTAACTACACACTACCTCTTTGGGACAGCTAAAAATCTAACTGCGATTTAGCAAGCCTGTTTCGACCACGTGAAGCATTAATTCTCATACCACATTCCTCTAGAAAACATCGATTTCAACTGAATCTAACATTTACCTGTTCTGCTGAGGCAACGCTTGTACCAACAGAACCTGTCTGTCCTTGAGGTAGTTCCATGTTGAGATCAAGACTAATAGGAGAAAACAAAACAAAAAAGACCAATTCAGGCTTACATGGCTAAAGGAAGAAGCACAGTAATTGACAAGCAGAGCAATACTGAGATAGCATGAGGCCACCAGCATCCCACAAACACTGCAGTCCAGCTAATTAGACAACTTGATCAGTGAGTTTGACTCATTACCAAGAAGACAAGTCATATATTATAACTAGCAATAGCTAAGTAAGTTCTGCTTAATCAGGACTGAGCAAGATTTCTGTTTAACAGGGGTATATCAGATGTGGCATATGTAGGAATGACCAAAAGTTCCCTCATAAAAAAAAGGTTTACTAAAAAATTTGTTAAAAGTATTTATCCTCAAGCCAACAGAGCAACACTTCCAAGTTATGTGTCACCAAGGCAGCAAGTAAAATTCCCTGCAATATTTCAGTATACCCCAAAGGCTTAAATATATTATGATGACCTGTTTTGCAATGTCTAGCTTGTGAGAGCAGAACTACAGGAAGTTTTAATGTGGTGAGAGGGAAAATAAAAGAGGAAAAGTGTGGAGAAACACAGCAAGGATTGCTAATGCTAAAGCTAATCCAAGTGAGTAATGAAACGCTATCCTGACATGACAAGTGACATAAGCTTTTAGGCTTCTGCACAACCACCCCAGCATCCTGACATTCACGGTAGCTTTGAGTGAAAACAGAATGAAACACTGGCAACTGAACTATTATGAGAATAATGCCCAGAGGTGAGAGGAAAATAGTGATTCTCCTCTGCTTCCAAGAGACAGACGCATATAAACCATGGCTCTCTGACCTTCAAGTTAACCAGGAGGGGTTGTTGGAACCAAGATTTAGTCAAGAAATAGTCACTCAAAATTTTACCTACCCTGCTTCATCTGCCATTTCCTGTAGAAGCATATCCACTTGGTTCTAGGGTAAAGGAAACAAAATTGATTGCTGCACCGTGTAGTTTATGACAAGCTCTTCTGTTCAATCTTGAGAGGACAGCAATTCTTTTAACCAAACTGATGTAAAGGTAAGTGCCTTTGACAGAACATTTTTGGGCTTAACCACCAGAGGGCCCTGCATGAACTCAAAAATAATGAGCAGAGGCGCTGGGCCTGTTAAAATGCCACTAATTGAACTCCAGCTTCTGAAATAATGCTTCTACACAATTAAACTTACCTGTAAAAAAAACCCCGAACATATACTTGAATATTTCAAGTGTTGATTATTAGCTACTAAAATACTGCTTTGCACAACATGGAAAAAAGCCCATTTGGTTTATTAGATTCGGGTTTAGCGGTTGGTTTGTTTATTTTATTTACAAAGCACTATCTCCCCTAAGTTTCTCTCTCTGACAAAGCTTCTGTTGGAATAGCACGTTTAGTTCCCTGTGGAATAACAAAAGAGGATAGGTGCTATGTTTTCTTAACTGTGTCAAGCATTGTTTAAGGATTTATTTTAGTAAACACATATCCATAAATTGAAAGTAGGTCGTTAACAATCTTTCCATTGCACATAGTACTACTAACTTGGTGGTGACTAATGTCATTTTGTTAATATCAGCGAGTTAGAACTATTGATTTTCTCACAGCATATTCTGCTTTGAGAATTAATGCTGCAGTGTCTTCTGGTTCAGAAGTTCATTATGAACCCATCAAAACGCTGCTTATTTAGTAGGAGGGTTAAAGTTTTCAAGATATAATATGAAATAAGGCCTGCTATATAACAGTGAAAGAGACTAAAATATTACATGCGACCCTCTGTACTTGTGACTATAATTTGAAATAGTCTCTTCCTCACAAAGGAGCACAAAGCAGAAGTGAAAATGCTCCAGTTGCTGCTATGTCTCAAAGTAGGCAGAAAGAAGAGAATCAGACGTTTCCACACAGTGCAAACACATAATTTAAGATCACCTTTTTTTAAAAAAAAAAAATTACTATTCTTACTTGTGGCGTTGTTAGCGTAGTAGTGTTGCTCATTGTGTCTTCCATCTGTTGCGTCTGAACATCTAGTGTCTCAAACTGATGCTCAAATTTATCCATTAGTGCAGATATCTATTAAAAATATGAATCAAATCAATGACCTGCAGATAACGGAAATGTATCTCATCTAGCAAAACCAGAATCACACTACAACGAAGGCTGCAAGCAGCTCCTGGAGATCAGAAGCGTGTCCCCCTCCCAGCACCACCTCTGAAGTTGATCGAACGCTGCAGTTCAAGCAGGTTGGTCAGGGCCCTGTCCGGTCAAGCTCCGAGCATCTCCATTTATGAGGACTTCACAACCACACTGGGCAACCTGTTCCAAGATCTACCAACCTCACTGCAAAACCTTCTCTCCTGATTGGAATTACCCTTTTTAAAACGTGTGTCCATTGCCCTTTCTGCTTTTGATGTGCACCTCCAAGAAAAGTAAGCCTATTTACCTTTTCCAAGTTCATGCTCTTCAGCGTGGCATCCATAGACTTAACTACCCCTGCCATCGACTTCGTTACCTGAAATGAGGTACAGGAAATTATTACAAAGAAAGAAAAACGAGCAAGTTTCTTACCAAGCTCTCTCCTTTCTCTCCACAGTTTCTACAGTATCAAAAAGCAGGACACAGAATATTGTCATCTAGAATGCTACTTTTTCTTTTTTTTATAGCTCCCACCATTTCATAGAATCATAGAATCGTTTAGGTTGGAAAAGACCTTTAAGATCATCCAGCCCAACCATTAACCTAACACTGCCAAGTCCACTGCTAAACCAATTAAGGGGAGAGTAAGAATTAATTTCATGTTTCCTGGCTTGGTGGCTGGATTATTTTTCAATGAAAGTAAAACTAGGAATCATTAAGGTCGGAAAGGATCTCCAAGATCATCAGTCCAACCATCAACCCAACACCCCCATGCCCACTAAACCATGGCCCAAAGTGCCACCTCTGCCCGTTTTTTGAACCCCTCCAGGGATGGGGACTCCCCCACCTCTCTGGGCAGCCTGTTCCAATGCTTGACCACCCTTTCCGTAAAGAAATTTCTCCTAATATCCAATCTAAACCTCCCCTGACGCAGCTTGAGACCATTTCCTCTCGTCCTATCGCTTGTTACTTGGAGAAGAGACCGACCCCCCACTCCCTGCCCCCTCCTGCCAGGAGCTGCAGAGCGATGAGGTCTCCCTTCAGCCTCCTCTTCTCCAGCCCAAACCCCCCCAGCTCCCTCAGCCGCTCCCCACCAGCCCTGTGCTCCAGACCCTTCCCCAGCTCCGTTGCCCTTCTCTGGACACGCTCCAGCCCCTCAGTGTCCTTCTTGGAGTGTGGGGCCCAAAACTGGGCACAGCATTCCAGGTGCAGCCTCACCAGTGCCGAGCACAGGGGGATGATCCCTGCCCTGCTCCCGCTGGCCACACCATTCCTGACACAAGCCAGGATGCTGTTGGCCTTCTTGGCCACCTGGGCACACTGCTGGCTCGTGTTCAGCCACTGTCGACCAACACCCCCAGGTCCTTTTCGGCCAGGCAGCTTCCCAGCCACTCTTCCCCAAGCCTGCAGCACTTGAAACATGCATTCTGAGCTGAAATTCCCTAAAACCTGAGGTGTATATGGCATTCGCTTTTGTGGGTCTCTAGACTTGCAAAAGTTAAGGGACATATTTGGTATACAGATCACATGGCAGAAAAAACTCTCTGGCTGAAGAGCAGTACAGCAGAGCTAAAGATTTCTGGAATCACATGTCCTACATCATGACTTTACATATTTGGAAGTGGAGCAATATGTTTGCAAAATAATCTTAACAGCGTAACCAGCAAAACACACTGCATCCTTAGGAGCACGAATAGTAAAAACTAACAGAAGTTACCAGCTACAAAACATAGTGGATAGCAGTCTATTCCTAAAGAGCAGCTGCTGGGGGATTCCAGTACCTGATTTACTATTGGCTACATCTGAAACCAAAACTGAAACTTTTCAGTTCATTACAGATAGAATTAAGTCACTTCTTAGAAGATCAGAGGTCTCATCCTTGCAACAGATCTGTGAAAACAGACCTACCTTGCCCATCGTCACTGCAGTCTGGACTCTTGCTGCTACAGCATCTACCCTGGCACTCATGCGCAAGAAATTGATGGCTTGATTCTTCTGGCGGATCGCATTTTCCGCATGTATTCGTGCGACTTCCATGTTACCCTTCTGAATTGCCTGTTGAAAAAAAGAAAAAAAAAAAAGGAAAAAAAAAAAGCATTTTAAACTTCCCTACTCTTGTAAACACGATTTCTGAATAGCCTATTTCATTTTTTAAATAAGCATCAATTCATCACAAGATCTTTTCTATTAAAAGAGAAAATAAACCCCTCCCTCCTTCCCCAATATTTCTCAAACTTTTTCAAGATGTGAACCCCTAACTTCTTTCCAAGGAAGGTATCTAGCATGCACTGCAAGTTGGAGGTTTTACAGAGCTACAGAAACAAAATTTTCTCATTCCTAAAAATGTTTTCGGTATCAAGACCCAAACATAGATACAGTTGGTATGGTTGTATTTCATGGACAAAAATACAGTCAAATAAATTTAGTCTCTCTACTACTTCAAGGACTCAGAAGTGATTTTAAAGTTCCTCTTCATAAGCCCTTTTAATACAGGATGATAAAGACTAAATATTTTAAACTTTGAGAACAACAGTCTCTAACAAAACACATACAAGACAATTTTTCTCAGGAAGCAAACGCCACAAGCTGTACAAGAGGATACACAAGAATGTATCCTCACATTTATTAATAAGTATGGGAAGATTTATAGTCATACATTTTAAATTGCAAGCATCTATCACAATATTATTAGCATGCATACCAGGAACATGATAAAAACACCAGATATTTTCCTGCTATAATATGTAAACAACAGATCTAAAGAGCTTGTTTCAGACCCACTGCTTACCTTCTTAATTTTAGCCTTCTCAGCCTTTTCTTCTTTGTCGCATTTTTTTGAGTTCCGGTTGAGTTCCTTTGCAGCAAACTTCAAATTAAACAGGTGTTCTGCAGCGCAAGTTAAGGGTTCAAGAACAGAATCCTTTCACTGTAGTATTTTGCTCTCCTGTTTGAAGTGCTACCAAGCCTGGCGTATACCGTGTCTCCCCGTTAGTGATACTAACAATTGGAAAACATTATTTAAGCAAGCCCCTGAAGTTCACACAATTAGGAGACCTACCAAGCTGCTTTACAATTATAATGCCACTTATCATCCGGGTTCTAAAATGTAAGGCCATAAAAAATAAGTTCAGATCCCATGCTCCGTTTGGCATCAAACCTACTTCAGACCGATAAACACAGCAAACCAAACCTCGCCCAGGAGGAACTGAAAGTCTTACTCCGCCAGCTACTTTCACTCGCACACCCAGAGCCCTTGACTCTCAGGGAAGTGGAAGTGCTGTTTACTGGCCTGTCTGGAATCTCCCCATCCGGAAAAAAAAAAAAGCCACTGCAGAACAACAGCCAAATTAACAGTGTAACAGCAAACTGGCTTGGCTGACCATGGCCAGGTACAAAGCAGCAGGCAGGGCTGCCCCTTCGAGCCACAGCGTGATCTCGGGTTTAAATCGCTCGTGCGGCTCCTTTACAGAGCAGCCTCCCAGCCCTGGGCCATGTCAGCGACTCTGGGGTCCCCGACGGCTCTGTCATCTGACTTTTGGGGAAAAAATACTTAAGTCAGCAAGAGAAACTTTTCTTTTTAAAAAGTTCAAGTCCTGCCGAAGCTGAAAGCTCTAAGAATACAGCAGAAGAAGCCTTCATCGTGACTCAAGAGTGATTGCATTAAACTGTTACTGACAGAGAATAAAGTATGTGCTGCAAACGTAACAATTAAAAACCATACTCTTAAAATACTGTTGATGAAAGCTTCCAAATAACATCAGTCTTTCTCAAATGAAATGGAAGCACAAAGCTTTATAGGCTTCTTTCATGCCACCTTCTGATATCCCAAGAGGAAGATGCAGCAAGTACTAAGATGCTTAACAGTTAAGTGGAAGCACATAAAGCTAAATGTTATGAGGTACTTGAGGTTTCTTTACTATTTCAAGTATATAAATTATTCCAGAACTGTTTTGTTTTTTTTTTTTCTCCTTTCAAGTCCAGCCAGGCATCTTAGAGCCCCGACAGCAACCTGAAGACATTAGGAAGTTTGTGGATATATTTGTTATCCTGTCCTATAAAGATCACAAGCAGGCTACAACAAGGTAACAGCTGCGCCTATACACCTAGGATCTCTCTCAAGGTAGCTACCAGTAACACTAAAATTGCTGCTTGTATTTATATTTCTTTGCTTTAAAACCTAGGTCACCAATGCCTGCAGCAGCAGTAAGCGTATTGCACTGAGCCACGCATTAGATAATTTACCAAAGAGGAAAATACCTTTAGATTGTTTATTCACGTATACTTCAGGTCAGAGACCAGAACAACCAGGTAAAACATGACATCACCTATGTACACCGATTACACCGGAACAGCATTGCAGAGCAGTTTATTCTGAAATAACTTCCTCAGTTACTCACTTGGGGCATTTAACTTCGACATTAGACTAGCTCACCCTGCTACCTCCGCGGCTCTTCCATCCCATGACAAGCCCATACTCGCTCCTCCCTCGAAGCGTCTTGCTCGACGTGCCGGAACCCAAGTCAAAGCAAGCTTCCACCATGAACCGTGACTCAGGGTCACTCGCCCCGGCACTCCCGTCGGTCCCTACCGTAACAACCGGCGAGGCCCAGCGCTGCCAGCGCATTCCAATCGCACCGAGACCTCTGTAATCCTTAAGGCTTGTATTTTGCCCCTGCGTGTTAAGATAGCTTTATACAGGAAGCAAGTTTAAATTTGCCCATGGGGGTTTTCCCCGCTTTTCAGCGGCAGCAGACGCGGCCGGGTT